AAAAGATTTTAAGTACGCAGTTTTGTAGCTCATTCAATTTTAGTATAACAAGAGGAAGTTTGAAATCGCTAAAAAATTGTGTTGATTTCTAGAAATGTTTTTTCTAACAGTGTCACAGATTTTCCTCCATATAAAAGAAATATCGAAGTGCGTGGTACTGTGAGCGAAAAAAAAATTACAAAACACAAGGCACTTTTTTACACAAAAATTTAATCGGTTGCGAAACCGCATAAGTGCTCAGAATCTTAAAAAAAAACATAATTTTAAGAGATTTTTCGAGACTTTAAAGTTTTTGGGGCGATCATAATTATTACTCGATCGGTAAGGGGTTTAATAGGATTCCGCACTATTAAAATTTTGAAAGCGAAAAATTTACTTTTCCGCCCCACACTAATGTTCATACTCAAATAAATGCGAACATAGGCGCACGCACGGCCATATGCGAGTAGCATTTACAAATTTGCACTTAACGAATAGCAAACAGACATGCTACCTACATACATATGTATGTATCTACGTACTCTACATGATTATTTATACAAATGAAAAGTTAACATAGCGGCAAACAGAAAGTGCAGTTGTAAAATATAAAAAGCGGAAATTACCAATAAGAAGTTATTTATGATGATAAATGTAAACTAATTCACACGCTGAAACTAAAGAAAAAGGGCAATGCACGACTAGGTGGCACTATAAAATTCAAACATGGCTTTGAATATTTATTTACGTGTAGGCATATGTGTGCTTTCAATTATAAGACTATCGAAAGGAATGAAAACGGAACGAATAGATGAAACTTGGATTTGGAGAAGAAAAATTCCGAGGTGACGGTACGGTGTAAGACGTCTGTCTGGGTAGTGGCATCGAACTTTGATTCATTCTACTTTTCGGTCGGTTCACTGAGCTGCTACTCTCACTCTGCACTCTGCAAATTTGCAATTATTACAATTATAGAACTCCAGTGTAAACAAGACTGGCCTTATATTAGGATCGAGAACGAAAAATAACAGTTTAAGACGAGACTGACGAAGCTCATAACACATCACCCCCCCACCAGTCCTACATTACGCCACTCTGCCACAAAAATTGTCAAAGCGGCTTCAACGACCACTTGCAAGTATAAACGGCGTCCGCTTCTTAGAACTTAGGCTCATTTGGAGCCAGCACAAATCACGAGCAGCCGGCTGTTGAATCTGTCAACAAATTATTTACACTGTCAATGCCGAAAGAGGCGATTTAGAATTCAGGGTTTGTCAAAAAGATGAAGTTTTAATGGTTCGGTATCGAGCTTGTCGTCTAGTCTAAGCGCCGTTGTTAAACACCAAGACGAAGTGTGGTTTGAACTTCAGCGCAGTGCATAAGAACGAGTTCGCTTAAATTCATGCAATCCGATGCTGCCGCTTTAACAGTCTCCATTTGTGAAAAAATTCTGGCTATAACAGCTAATACATATTATCCTCCTCATTGCCCCGCACCAAGGACAGCCTAGGGATTCGAACAGATAAAGCTACCCCCTTAGTATGCAAAACAGTCGCGGATTAGTTGGACGATGGTCCGAAAACCAACCGAAATCTCAGCAGAAACTGATGTAGACTCGCCACCATCTACCACAAAACCCGCCGGTCATGGCGGTAGCTGCCACGAGCTTATTCAAGTCTAGGAAGCTGCCGAGACAATGACTGTGAATGAAAATACCCTTACCCAAACACAGGGGACCAGATCAACCACACAATGCGTAGCCCAGCAGCTGCGCAGGTACAGTCTGTGTCATCGAAGGTTGTCTCGGCCTCGAAAAGTGATTAACAATGCCCCACACCTAGCCCCAATAGGCACCAATTATATACAGAGTGACAATTCAGTATTAAGTACATAAAATGATTTTCACTTCACCATTTCATAGAACATGTTTTGTTCTTCAGGTGTAGTTGTCTTGCTATATTTCAACAAGTTGCTTATGTCCGGTTAATTAAAGCTTGTAATTGGGTAAATTTTTCTTCAAAGCTATTATCTAATTTGGATACAGCAAGCTTTAGCAACGCAATTGTTAAAGTGAAAGTGGTTTTTGAATAACAATGGTAAAGGTTGACTTATTAACCGGCTAATGACCGCTGAGAGATGTTATCAAATAATGCCAATGCTCACTCGTATTCCCCGAGCTTATCTTTCAGTTAAAATGTTAAAACGCAATATAAATATGTACATATCTACAGCGTTTATAATACTTTCGTAGAAAATGAGCTAGAGGGTTCAAAGCCGCAGGTAAATTTTTCTTAACCTTAGGAGGACTTAAAATGATTTCCATTTCTGATAACACAGGTTTACAAAAAAAAAAGCTTATGCATATTAAACCAAACCTATATATCCCTATGTCGGCCGCTGTGGCGTAGTGGTAAGTAGTGCGCGCTTCCACTTCGCAGCACCTGGGTTAAAGGCCTGGTCAAGGCAACATCGCAAAAAAATATAGAAAAAAAGGTTTTTTCTTAACAGCGGTAACAGTAATTTTCGGAAAAAAATATATGAAAAGGTGTTTCTAACAGCGCTCATCCCTTGGCAGTATATGGCAAGAACCCGGTGTATTTCTGCCTTGAAAAAACAGCTTCTCATAAAAATACAATCGCCGTTTCCAGACGGCATAAAAGGTAGGTCCCCCCCTTTTTTTGACAACCTCAAGGCGCACAACATAAATCGGAGGAGAAGCTCGGCCAAGCTCTGACCGAAATGCAAACGCGAAATATTTTTTTTTCATATGTCTTTCTAAGCTAGACATAAATAGAAGGCTGCAGATACTTTTGAACGGTTAGGGTATTTTAAATTTTTTTACGCTTCCAAAATTTTCTATAAGACAAAAATTTTAATTTTTATGATGAATATTCTCGAAAAATTGCAGCTCCATGGCCTGTTTATGTACAACAACTAGATAAGTTTGCAGTTTGTTTTAAGAAATCAAATGTTTTTAAAATTTCAAATTCAACTCCAACACGGATCTAAAATCTGGCAACCGTAATTTGATTTATATACATATTTCCGCGAATGCTTATAAAACTACAAATCTTTATGTAATGATGACTTTATGAACTTTTATTAAAAGTGTGAACTCCAAAAAGCGACATAAAAATTTAAAAGCAAAAACCAAAAGCGCACAGGAAAAAGTGAAAAATTAAAGCAATATGGTGGCCTTTTATTACAAAATCTCTACATTGTAATTCGCCACCTGTGAATGTCGGCTTTTTTGTTTTGCCGCTGACTTGTTTAACGGTTGGTTTTGATACGACTGCTTGCGGTCACTGTGCAAATTTGCTTGCTATGTACATATGTTCGTTAGGGTGGAGCAAAAAAAAATAAGTTTTTCGATTTCGATACTCTTATAGTGCGGATAGGTTGCCTAAAATGATCCCATCGAACCGTGTTAAAAAGTTTTCTTGTCGGAAAATATTTACGTTCGCCCGAGGAACCTAAAAATCTTTCAATTTATTGGTCTTTAATTCAATAATTTAAATCAATTATTAAATACAATACGGGTTCGACTATCACATATATGAGGATGACCACCTGTTAAAAAATATTCAATTTAAGCTAAGGCAGGTAAGGTGTATTAGGCAAAAAAATTTTTTAAAAAGGTTTTAGTTTCAATTATATATTTAATAAGAATGCCACTTATTTGAAAAATCGACTTTATTTAAATTGTACACAGTTAATTTGAAATTTTAAAACCTTTAGTTTGAATATTAAGAATATTTTTGAGAACTCATATTAGGGTTGCCACCTATTTACCAAAATCAAACTCGAAATTTTTTCATATGTTAAATGAATTATTAGAACAATGTATATAAATCGAAATTGCTTTGAAAGAGCTTTATTTCCAAACTATATTAAGGAGTGTTGCCACATGTTTAAAAAAGCTTATTCTTATTTATACTTGAATTGCGCTAATTGCCGCTAATTGAAATATGGGGCAGAATATGGGTGTCAGACGAAAGTTGATTTAGTTTGATAATATTTTGAAGATGGTTGCCATCTCCTTGAAATGACGAATTTAATTAAATTAAGCAAAAGTTAGACGAGTCATTAAAATATAGGTGCAAAACGAAAGAGTAGTAAGAATTATTTTGTTTGAACGTTTAGGATATTTTAGAAAAATTTGAAGAGGGTTGCCACAGGTATAAACTCAAATTATTAAAAGCTGTGTATCAATCGAAATGGGTTTGGAAGAAATTTAATTCAAAACTCTATTTAGGGAGGTTGCCACGTATTTGAAAAATCAAATTCAGCTTAATTCATCAGTTAATTGAAATATGTAACCCAGTGACAGACGAATTTTTATAAGACTTAAGTTTAAAAATAGTTTTGAAAGGCTTTGAAAAGTCGAATTTAGCTAACTTATACACAGGATATGTATGTACATTGGTGCGGGTCAATTTGTATGGGAAATATAATTCTAAGCAAATTGGCTGAAGAAATCATGAGTCTAAAAAACTAAAATTTTTACTAAATTAATTACAGCCACTCACAAAGTTGAGTATCCGGTGATTTTTAAATATTAACAATAGTTCTTATGTTATACTGGTAAGAAATTTTTTTAAATTTTTTATTACAATACGGCTTATATTTTAGCAAACAAAATATTAATCAAAGTTACAAACTTTGAACGAAAATTAGAGGAATTCTGCTAACTTCATCAAAAAAAAATCCAAAAAATCTTAAAAAAAAACCTTTAAAAAAAGTCAAAAATAATCATAAAATAGATCGATTTTTCGAAACTTTAATGCTCTTGGGGCGAACGTAAATATTTTCCGATCGAAATGGACAAATTTATTTTTTTTTTCGGTCCACCCTAATGTCCTTACATACGAGTATCTATAAAACTAATACGAGCAGTTGAGCGCATATGTATGTATTTGTCTAAAATTTCCATTGTGTTTTTGCTGTGAGTGCTTGAATGTGTAAAATAAACGAGTAAAATACGAATATTATTTTTTTTTTGCAAATGTCGGTTTACTCACCTAAAGGTCAGCTTCAGCATATCCATAAAAGAGATGGAATCCATTGTGCTCAGCATG